TCCATCTGGTATCCCTTACGAAACATGTATTAAAGATTTTTGTGATTGAGGATTGATTAAGCAGTTACAGTTGTGTGAGCTAATTTAGGGCAAGCCCATTGTGAACTAGTGAAGTTAATGTAACGCTAATACAATCTTCTTGTATAAAATGAGCGCATTAGGGGTTAAATGGTCCGTGAGTAAACCCAGTCTGATGAACTCAGAAGCTTTGGGCTCTATTTTAGGCCCACATTTTTTTTTAATCTAATTTAGGCCCAGATTGTTGTTTTGCTTTCGTGGTAGTCTACTGGTAGAATGTCTGTTTTCTTCACCCTTAGACACAACCCCATACTGATTTTATTCATTCATATGGTATTCTTTTTAAGTAATTCACAAATTTATTACTCTCGTGACCTGGTCACATGAAAATTCAATTTTTTTTTTTTTTTCATTCGTATTTATTTTTGGCTAGAGCAGATAGAAGCACTATATATATATATAGAATTCTAAATAGATAAATTTTTTGAATTTTATGAATAGCGACAATGCGATTTAAAACGAGTCAAATCTACAATAATTTTCTAATAAATTTTTCATTTTTGTACGGTTATTTATACATAAATGAAAATTGGATACATATAAAATTTAATACTTTCACGTTCATATATTAGAATTTGGAACTCTAACTAGAAGCTACTCAATATCATTGTGAAAATATAAACGTTTCTATTTCCCTCTTTAGGACTCAGCATGTATTAAAAATTAAAGAAATTACCAACTAATGGTTGCTCACTATAACGAGTTGATTACAAATGACTCTATTACGCTATTTATAGGCATTTTTATGTGAAAATATCTCTATTTCTCTCTTTAAGACTCAGCATGTATCAAAGAGATTACCACCATTACTATAACAACGAGTTGATTAAAAAGAACTCTATTACTATATTTATAGGCATTTTACGGACCTTCACTAAACAACATTCTATACAAAGTAACAAAATGCTTAGTCATCTATAATATTCTCTATTTCTTTACAAGTTTTTTAAATATTTTAAAATTTCCAATTCTCTCTATAACACTCCATAAACAACTCTGAAGGACTTTTATTTACCTAAAAAAAAAACTCTGAAGGACTTTTCGGGAAAAAAAAAACTTTAAAGGACTTTAGAACTATACTAACATGCCGATGCCAATCAGAATCCTTACTCGCGAGGCATAGCGTCCTGCAAATATGTTACCAGGGCGACATATTGATTTATAGGTAGACCATGTAAATTATAGTCCAAAACCACATTGACTATTTCTATCATTTGATTTTGATGGTGGCAAAGAATTGTAACAGACAAAATTATAGTCCAAAACCACATCAATCACTCCGTGTCCAAGACCGGTTTAATAATCTAACACTTAACTTATGATTAAACTCAATATTTATCAAAACAGTGCCTATGATAACGCAAATTAATGTGCAATAGTTAACAATGCCGTCCAATTATTTTTGCGATTTTATAAATACATTTTATCATTAGCAATATAGTTAACAATGCAGATTAATTTATGATTAAACTCCAGTAGATAAATTTTATAAAATTAATAAAAATGATTGATTACCTCTCTCTCCTCCCACCCATCCATAAAGAATCAAACCGCCTTCACTAAAAGCAATATTTTTCAGCTTGTCATCAACGTGTACATATTTTTATATGTATATGTATGTTGTATTTGTATGTATGTATTTTTCTCCTCTGTGCACATTCGTTAATTTTTAAATAACTTTTGATTAGCAGATAACCATAAGAAACTCTTGAGTTGGCTGTTGAGGAGAATTCAAGAGTATTTATTTGGTAGAGCCTGTGATATCTTATGGTTTTTATATGAGAGTACTAACAAAGGGGTCTGTTTGTGGGTATCACTTTTTATGAGATGCCATTAATAGGGTTTTGAATACTCACACAGGCTGTCATGCGAGCCCTTTAAATTAATGCTGTTAGTTATGTTTACACTTTAAAGGCTTGAAAGCTAGTCAACTAACTCTCTCATTACAACCGAATCTACACGATATGTGATGTGAGAAAAGCCCTAACAGCCCATGTGAGTTTAATGTATATTGGGCCCATTCAACTACATCACTTTCTCTTGGTGGGTTTTACCACCATCTCATCATTTGCAAGAGTAGGATATGACAACCAAGTTATTTTTTATTTTTTATTTTTATTTTTCAATCTAATACTTTTAATTGAAAATTACACAAATAAATTAAATATTATATTTTCGTATTTAAATTTGTGACATGTATAAGAATCTAATGGCATGTGCTAAGTTTTGAGTTGGGAAAAGGACCCTAATGCTGTCCATTATGTAAGGGAATTCAACCACTCCTTTCTATCCTATGGGTTCTCCTTATTGCAGGAACATTCACTATCATATCTGAATAAAAAGGGAATATATACAGATAAACACAAACATATCTGCAAAAATGTATTACACCATTACATAATCTATATACATATATAACAATATATATATATATATACAGGCATGGTTCTCCTATGGTTTCTCCGTATTGCAGAACATTCACATCAATGCTGAATAAAAAGGAATATATACAGATAAACACAAACATATGTGCACATATATATTACATAATCTATATGTATATAAATATATATATATACACACACCTATATATATATATATATATATATATAGGCGTGTTTCTGTATATCATCAATACTGTTATTTTGATGACTATTATTATAGAGTTTTATGGAACGGTTCACCATGAAAAACCTAATAATGTTATTTTTCACCGGCTTGGCTTGATGGAGAGGGCATATATTTTTTGGTCCCAGTGGTAGAGGACATTCAGTTGCAGGCTTGCACCATTATAACGTCCTATTTAAATATTCTTCTCTTTCTAAGATCCTGGACCAATTCTGATTTGGCTTTTTTTTTTAATATTCTTCTCTAATTAGTAATTGCTAAGATTGGACCAATTCTGGTTTTTGAATTTTTAATATTACTCTCTTTGATAAGATACTGGACCAAGTCTAATTTGGCATTACAAGTTAATCACAAATGACAATTTTTCTCAATTATAGAAATAAACAAGTACAGAAGACTTGGTTTACTCTATGACTATGAGTTTAATAATAGTATTAGTGAGAACCAGCACATGCTAACCAACGAGTAAAAAAGTACTAAAATCCCACTAATCTCGCCATTATAGACAATAAGTTTAATCACTCCATCTTAATCTAGTATTATTGTCAAGGGTTGAGAACGTTTTGGAAACGCAGAGAATAGTAAGGGAAGAAGTATGAGTGACAACTATATACGGAGTAAAATATAAGCCGTGAAATTTAATCTCATCATTCCCTAATCAAACTTTGTGAGTATGTCTTGAAACTGGTATAGGAGAATAGTATAGTAGAGATGAGGTAACTCTATTTTGAGTTTCAAATTTTAGGACATGCATGAATTCCATTTTATCAAGTAGGTCTTAGAAATCAGATTTTGATATTCAAAAAAAGGAGATTAAAACATTTTGTCTTATAGAAAAAACTTGTCAATTTTGGAAGCTAATTAAATATATCCGTTGGAAAGATTAACCGTTGGAATTGCTTTTCATCCCAAACAAAATGGAATATGAATTTGCCGACAGAAAATGACTAATGCAGAACAGAAACAAATGGACACGAGGATAGGGGTTGTCAGTTTCTCACATGCGTAATAGAAGGATTATAGTTGCATGTGATGGGATAAAACTGTTTCTGATTCCAGTGAAAGCCAGTCAAGTTGCGCTTTTTCACATTAGTCCAGATGGACTTTTATGGCCTTTGTAGGAGGCCATTTTTTTTTCAAAAGTTATTTGTAGGAGGACATTGTGGCCTCCATTTCAAGCCCCCCTCTCTGGAAAAATGTTTATGCCACAGAGGGAGTGTTCTGACTTTCGGTGGCCTATACATATGGCCCATACGGATCGCAGTGTTTTTTGTTTGTTTGCCACTAACAGACAGGGAATGCACAATACACCTGCATAATTTTCCTTTTCTTCGAGTAGTTATGGCACTGGAGGAGGAGTCGGTGGACATGTGTTGATGCCGGGAGGAATGTGGCTATGTCGTGTAGGTAGGGACGTGTTATGGAGATTTTGGGGTGACAAATGGCCGAGCCGTGGCTGTGCCACGGCGGCACTTCTGGTTGTTTTGTGGCAGCTCTAATGTCAGTGAGGGAGATGTTTACTCAAAGATGGTGGTGGAGTTCATTGTGAAGCCACGCTCCAACAGGCGCTTAAATACGAAGGTAATTCACATTCATAGCATAACAGCAATGAAGCACTTAACAATCAGCTTTTGGGGATTTCAAATGCTACAAACAATAGTCAACCAATTATAGCCTGTGCAAGGACATGCTACATCCTATGCAGAATGAGATTCAGGAAGAACAATCTGTAAGAATTTTCAAGCCTGACAACAACAATTCTAAACTCAAATGAGGAGGGAGTACAATATTCCAAGTTCCAATGGAAGAAGTGTGACTGAAGCAAACAAACTAATCCTCAATTTAGTACTCTGTCCCAAGTTCCCATTTACTTGATTGTTCATTCCTCACCCCAAATTATTTTAGCATCTTCTTTTTTGGAACGTTTGAGGATAGATGTTTTAAAGTATATACCTCAGAGACTCAGTTCTGTCAATACATTAAATGTACCTCTCCTTAAAAATTTCAAATACTATGAACATACAGTAAGCTGACAATTAGTTCTTCCATGTCAACCATCAAGAACAGAAATTTGTTCAAGGATTATGATCCTCAACCACATGGTACCCAAGAGTATAAAGTACTGGTTAAACCTGCCAAATATCATGAAAATTTCCATACAAATTTTGTGTAATCGATAGAATAAACCTTGACGTCTAAAGATTGAAAATATAATCCACACCAACACAACACACAAATGAGTAGTACCATAACTAGACCTGTACAAGCTCACCATCATGAAAGGAAATGGGACAGACAAGAATAGAACTGAGTGAACTGAATTCTTAAAATGAATACAAGTAAAATGTTCAAGATTATACTATAAATTCCAGAAATCGAAAGAAGATACAAAAGTATGATATAAAAGAGATAATAACAATAAAACCCCCACGAACCAGAATCAGCAGGAGCAGCAAGAAGTGCTACACTACTGCCTTCTAGCCCTGTTTATGGTTCGCTATACATACACTTCTCTGCAACCTACTCTTTTCTCTGCCAATTTTTATTTCTCCAACTCAAATTATCCATAACAATTCAAATAAATATTTGAGAGAGGCTTTCTCCTCTTACCTCCTCTCTCGATCTCTCAATCTTCATCACTTCTCTGTTTCTTGGACGAATTGATACGCATAGTAGTACATTGCCGACACAGATGCTTTGGAACTCTTCTGGTGATGAGAATCATCACAAAAGAAAGATAAGTGGACAATAGAGAAGTAAAAGATGAGGAAATGGAAGCAATTCCCGTTAATGTAATTGTAGATTTTGTTTGTGTTGGGAGGAAAGGTTAAGAGGAAAATTCTCAAAAGAATCAATAGAAGGGAGGTGGCGGAGGAGAAGCATATGAAACCCCAAAGATTGGTGGTAGTGGCCCTTCGTACACGGGTGCTGGAGGAGGCGGTGGGGAGGCAGATGGTGGTGGTGGGGGGTTTTCACATGGGATCGGAGGTGGTGGTGATGGTGGGGGTGGAGAGTGGTAATGAATTGGCGGTGAGGGTGGAGGTGGAGAATTATATTGTACAGGGGGGGGTGGAGAATGGTATTGAATTGGTGGTGGTGGAGGTGATGGTGATGGTGGCGGCAAATAATGAATTGGCGGTGGCGGTGTTGGTGATGGTGGGGGTGGGGGTGGTGAGTACTCTATACATGGTGGAGGAGATGGAGGTGGGGGTGGTGAGTACTCTATACATGGCGGAGGAGATGGAGGTGGTGGTGGTTCTATACAAGGAGGTGGTGACGGTGGTGGAGGTGAATTGATTGGAGGAGGTGGTGAATGGATTGGAGGGGGCGGTGGTGATGAATAGACATAAGCAGGAGGCGGTGGCGGTGAGTGTGGTGGAGGCGGTGGTGGTGAGTGCTGCGGCGGAGGTGGAGAATTATAATAGTAGGGAATTGGAGGTGGTGGAGAATGCAGGGGTGCAGGAGGTGGCGGTGAATTTGGTGGCGGCGGTGGTGGGGAGCGTACACAATAAGGTAAAGGCGAGGGTGGTGGTGGAGAAGGTGGGGGAGGTGACATTGAGGGTGGTGGTGGAGATGGTGGCGGAGGCGACACAGAAGGCGGGGGAGGAGATGGTGGAGGTGGAGAAGGTGGTGGAGGAGACGGTGGGGGAGGAGAAGGCGGAGGAGGAGATGGCGGGGGTGGAGGTGGAGGTAAGTAAACAGGCGGCGGGGGTGGGGGCGGAGGCGGAGGCGGAGGTGGAGGAGGTGGCAAGTAAACAGGTGGTGGAGGGGAAGGTGGAGGTGGAGGTGGTGAATAAACCGGTGGCGGAGGTGACGGTGGAGGAGGCGGTGGAGAGTAAATTGGTGGAGGAGGTGGTGGCGGTGATAGGGAAGGAGGCGTCAAAACAGGTGGTGGAGGAGGTGAAACTATTGGTGGCGGAGGAGAAGATGGGAGAACCGGTGGAGATGGCACCGGCATTGGAGGAGAAGGTGGAGGAGGAGTCGGTAAGGAAGGAACAAACGGAGTACACCTAAACGAACCACAATGAGCGGGCTTGAACGCCCTACACTGCGCGGCGGACCGCTGCGCCGGCCGTGCCGGCAAACAATTTCGTCGATCATTGAAATCCGGCAATCTCAAGCACACCGGAGGCTCGCCAGTAAAGAAATTATACGAATAAGTAAAGTTCTGCAGACTCGGAAGCTTACATATACTCTCTGGAATACTCCCCGAAAGCATGTTGTGAGCCACATTCAGCTGCTCCAAGCTCAGCATATCTCCGATCGTCTCCGGCAACGGCCCCATCAGCTGGTTGAAGCTCACATCGAACACCGTTAGGTTTTTCAGCAACCCAATCTCCTCCGGTAGACAAGATCTGAACCCATTGTTCATGAAAATGATCTCGTTCAAGGTGTCCGACATGTTGCCCAAGCTCGCGGGCACACATCCGTGGAACTTGTTGTTGGCCAGAACGATAACGGAGACCGGCGAGTTTCCGAAATTGTCCGGCAAATCGAAAACAAATCGATTATGGTTGATGAAGATGGCGTCCAAGTCCTTGTCGAATAGCTCGCGAGGGACGGTTCCTTCGAACTCATTGAATCGAAGATCTAAGAACTTTAGGGTCGGCAATTGAAGAACAACACTCGGAAATTTTCCGGCGAACCTGTTGTTGCTGAGATCTAATTCGAATAAGAGCCTCAAGTCCTTGAACTTCCGTGGGACTGTACCGCAAAACCGATTCGAGTTGATGTGAAACAATGCCAGATCCGTGAGAAGTCCGAGCTCCTCCGGGAGGTATCCTGCGATGTCGCCGTGGTTGAGATCGATGCCGGCAACCGTCCGGATCTTGTCATTGTCAAGTGCGGGAGCACAGTAGACGTTGCTGTAGTTGCACACGTCAGATCCGACCCAATCGGCGGTGAGATTGAGGGGATCGGAGAGAATCGCTTGCTTCCAAGCTTGTAATGCAATGTAGGCGTTTCGGAGTCTAGGGTTTTCGAAGACTAGAGAGGGGTCGACGGTGACGTTCTCCCCTCTGTCGCCGAACTCGTCTCTGTAGTAGAGTAACTGGCGCTGCTTGATGAACATGGCTTCGGCGTCTGTGAGACCGCCATTGCCGGAGAAGTGAATGGGGTCAGAATAAGCAGAAGCAGAGTAGAAGAGCAAGAAGATAATGAATTGCAGAGAGAGAAGATTAAAACAAAGATGGTGTGTGGTGGTCTTCTTCTTCATCTCACATGAAACATCTGATTACTTTCCCTAATTTTCTTTTGTTTTCACTCTACTCTTCAACTTTCTCAGTTCAGGTTGAGAAATAAATAAATAAATAAATAAAATGGGAGATGTGTAGTGCCTGAGATCTGAGGAGAGAAATGTAGAGAGAGAGAGAGAGAGAATTTGGAGATAGGTTTTGCGATTGGGTAGTGTTTGAGGAGAGAGAAGGGGTATTTTCTAGGGATTTTGGGGGAGTGCGAGTGAGAGAGAAATAAGCAGGAAAAGAGACAGCTAAATCACAGCTCAAAGCCCACCAGATTCTCTCTTTCTCTCTCTAACTTTCTCTCTCATCATTCCTTTTACTCTCCAATTTTCTCTCTCTAAAAAGAAGGCGACTTTATTCTTTGTTTGAATCCGTTTCCCATTCAACTTCCCTATGCTAAAGGTTAGCATAAATTAAAAAAAAGTTATTAATTATTAATTAAAATTTTTACTTTAAGTATATTAATTAAAAGTTGTAATGATGTGAACTTGTTAAAGGCTCGACGGTGAGAGAAGAGCGCCGGCGATTTGACCCACGCCGGATAGACTGGGCTGGCCGGTTGCCGGTAGATTTTACAAATCCTCAATTTCCTTTTGCTTTTAATTTTTGAAACGGTTGTGATTTGTTTGTATCATTGCATGACTGAAATGCATAGAGTGTGACATATATATTATCTATATATATATATGCGCATGAAGTCCAGGACAGACACACATGTAAAAACCTGCCATTATTGTACAAGTATTCTGTACATTCACAGCAAAAATGCTTGTAAATAAAAACTTGTTCTTTAGCGTGTGAAAACTTTCATTGAAATGTATATATATTGCTTACTTATAAAAGTTGATTAATTAATTTATTTTAAAATAGAATGCATTAGGATAATTGAATTGGCTGAGACAACAACTAAGTCATATCAATTGCAATTATTTCCAAGTTATCCCAATAAAGATTTTACATGTAAATTATGTATATTAAAAAATATTGATGTTAAGGGTTAATCTGAGTAAATTTTAGTGCTAAAAACAAATATATATATATATATATATATATATATATATATATTAAAATTGTTGGAAAAGGGGTTTGCACCTTCATGTGCATTTGTAATTTAGATTACTAATCAATTTCTAAATGACATTTCACAGAGAATTAATTTTTTTAAAGAAATCAATTTTAAAATTACTACTAAATAAATATTCCCTTATTTAATTAAATGGAACCAACCTTTTGTTTAGGTCTTAATCAAATTAATACGAAAACAGTTATAGAACAAGTCGAGTGAGCTTCACTCATAATTTATTTTTATTGACGCAATTGACAAAATAAAAGGGGCATTTAATTAAAATATATATAGAAAGATTGGCCTAATTAATGGATCAATAGAAACGTCCCTTTCCACTAACAATTCGTAACAGCATTTATTGGAGTCTGGAGATAAGTCAGTAAGTAAGTCGACGCATGCATGCATGTTATGGCTACACATGATGATGATGAGGATGATCATGGCGATGATGATGGTGATGGGGACATAGTTTTTTGAGGAACAAATGGGGTCTGATCTTAGCTACACTTGTGGACCCCATGTAAGAAAGCGACATCATCCACAATTAGTATGTGATGGGCCCACACGTTTCACGTATTGCACGGCTAGATCGTCGGCGCCGAGGGACGACCTTTCATTTTTTTTGGGGTGCAGCGAGTCCGCGTACGCGTCAATTCGCACTGTATCACCACTGACTCGCACTTGCCATATTTTTACTAGGAGACCCTCCTATATTTTCTTTTCTACTCTTTTTATCCATATTTTTCTTTTATCTTCTTTTTCTCCCACTTAAGTCAGACAGTTAATAAAAAACTTTACATGCGCACACTTTGGTAAATTTCCTAACTAATTTGACATTTAGATTTTTTTTTTTTTTCCTTTTATACTGTCAGGTGACTAGGGATGGTAAATTCTCCATCCCAACAGTCTCCACCCTATTTAGGACAATTTTTGAGCCCCTTTTATGCAAACAGGGATGGAGTAATTTTTGAAAATCCGACGAAAACGGGGATAGGGTAAACCCGCCCCACCCCCTTTAGGGTACACATTTTCTAAAATACCCTTATATATTATAATATATTATTAAACTATATTAAGTATATATGAACATATTTCTGAAAATAAGAAAATTTATTTGTTAAAAAATTATAATGTATATTAAATGGGGATGAGGATTGCGGGGATGGGGAATGGAGGGCAGGGGCGGGGGCAGGTATGGGGATTAAAGTGAAATTTTAAATGGGGATAAGAGTGGGGATGAAAAAAAATACCGTGGATAGGGATGGGGAATGAGATCCCTGCCTCGCCTTCCCTATTACCATCCCTACAGGTGACTCGGGCCTCTTATTACACTCTATAACCGAACACAAGTAGCAAGATAAGAACATGTACAATGGCAAAATAATTCGAGACCACGTGTTTTGGAAATTAATAAATTTCATAAAAGTATTAGGGTAAATTGTATTAATACTTCTTGAAATTTCGGTCAATGTCACTCAGATACGTGTCAACGACTTTTTTAACAATGATACTCATGTGGTTTCAAATATCATATTTGCCCTGATTATTTAATTCAATTAATTTATAATTTATCGATTATGTTAATTGACAAAATTACTCTCATCATTAATCTTCTTTCCTTACCATAATCATTAACTCTTTTTCTTTTCTTTTTTTCATTTTAGTACCCTAGCTGCCAACACCACCTCTCTCTTCCCAATCTCAAACATGCCTTTTTTTTTTTTTTTTTTTTTTTTTCCCCTGTTGTGGTTGGTCTGGTTGACTATGGCTGTTTTTTTTTTTTCTAGGCTGGTGGGGGTTTTTGTGGTGTGTTTTAGGTGTGGCTGTGGTGGTGTCTAGGTTATAAAGGTATTTCAAAATTTTATTTTATTTTTTCTGTTGTGATGGTGGTGGTAGTTCTGGTAGAGTCTGGGTGTTTTGGTGGTGGTTCTTGTGACATTTGGCACATATAAGTTTGAGTTAACCATAGATATTTTTTATTTTTTTATTTTTTTATTTTATTGTGGTGTTTAGGCGTGGTGGTGGTGGTTATGGCGATATACAATTATGGCTATTTAAAAACAAAAAAATTAATTTTCTTTTTTATTTTTTATTTTTATGTTGCGGTGATGGTTATGGTGTTGTTTAAAAAATAATAATAATTTTCTTTTTTGTTTTTTAATTTTATGTTGTAGTGGTAGTTATAGTGGTATAAGTATTATTATATATAAACCATATCTATATGTATAGAAAAGATGAAGAGGTTAATTTGATCCATTAAATTTAATTATGAGGTTAAATTTGTAATTTCATGATTTAAATGGAGTTGTTGAAAAGTCAAAGAGTTAAAAGGTAATTTCATATATTTCCAAATGTCTAGAGGGGTGTCGTGCATATTTTTGAAACATGTCAGTGTAAAAAAAGTTATTGATCGTCCGTCGAATAGCACTGACCAAAACCTCCGGGGTTTTCAGTTCAATTTACCCAAAGTATTATTATACAAAAGCTTAATGTTAAATTTATATTTATTTATAGCTATTTTTAGGTAATATAATGAGAGATTCATACCACGATCATGCGTGTTGTTTATTATATTTCTATTGAATACTTTCATGCTATGTTTGGTATGCAGGAATTGAATGGAATGCCCATTCCAAACATTCATTTGTTTGGTATACAATTTAAAATGTAAATGGCCATTCCATTGGAATGCAAATTCATTTCCCAACAAAACCTATGGAATGGCCATTCCATTCCCAAGTAATTTTTTTTAAAAAATCAATTTCTCAAAAAACCCTCATGTTTCAAGTTCAAAAACCACCATTACCTTCCACCGCAACCACATCCACCTTACTCACCACCACCACTACTACCGTCTTTCACCACCACCACCACTTTCCACCACCACCACTGCCATCGCCTTTCACCACCGCTATCGCCACCGTTTGCCTCAACCACCGCAACCGCTACCGCCAGCACCACCACTGCAATTGCCTTTCACCACCTTCCATCACCATTGCTGCCACCGCCACCACCCTATACCACCACCTTCCACCACAGCCTTTCACCACCACTACCACCACCGCCGCCGCCCTACACCACAACCTTCCACCACCACCACAATCACCACATTTTACCACTACCATCATCACCACCGCCTTCCACCACCGCTGCCACCGTCTTTCACCGCCTTCCGCCACCTTCCATCACCACCGCCGCACCACGGCCACCGCCTTCCACCACTACTAGCGCCGCCACTGCCTTCCACCACCACCATCGTCACCACCACCACCACCACTACCTCCACTGTCTTCCACCACCACTATCTCCTTCCACCACACTACTGCCACTGCCTTCCATCACCGCCGCCGCCTTCTAACACCATCACCTACACTACTACCGCTTTCCACCATCCACCACCACCACTGCCACTATTTATTTTTAAAAAATTATTAGAGAATGTCATTTTGTTAATTTAATTTATTTGTTACTAAGAGGGATATTTTTAAAAATTCAATTAGAAATTTATTCCATTCTAAATTTTAAATTGATCCAACCAAACACTAGAATGGCTATTACGATTCCATTCCTACACATTTCATATTTACAACCAAATAATAATAGGATGAGAATGTCCATTCCATTCCCATTCACATTCCATTCCCACTTGCATTTCATTCCATTCCTACACACCAAATGTATAGTCAAAGAAATATGAAAAATGTTTCAGAAAGAAAAAACCTAAAAATTAAAATACATGACATGTAAATTTAATAAAATAGTAGAAAGGAAAATACATCTATCATACTTCGAGAGTTGAGACGAACGGATTACTAAAAGTAGTTAATTTCATTTTATGGGATCCATAATACAAGGAGATGAAAGACAGATTACAATGCAATAATAATAATAATTGGGGTAGGATGGACGAAATAGATAAGCTTATGTGATATGGAGTACATGAATACCAAATAAGTAAATAAATAAATAAAATTTTAAAAAAATAAAAATAAAAATAAATAAATTAAAGAAATTGATGAAAACGTTGTTTTTTTACCTTAAATAGTGACCACCCGGTGAGGGTCATTCAATCTGCTTTGTTTTGCCGATTTTTTTGTCTTTGTAAATAAAATAAAATAAAATAAAATAAAAGAAAAAAGAAAAAAAGAAAAAAAAAAAACACGTATACCATGCACGCTGCAAAAGTATTGCTGAGTGGGGATGACTTTTTGGCGTTCATGCACCTGAAAATTAATTACCAAAGCTTAAATGCAGTTGGAAAGTCTTCGATTATGATCTATGG